AAAAAAAAAAAAAAAAAAAAGAAAAAAAAAGAAAGGGTGCTCTTCCTCTCCATGAAGAGGGTCCTGGGGAAGCTTCATCTCCAAGGTGCTGCCAGCCCTCCTGGCTCAGGTGCTCATGTTTGGAGAGGGGAGAGTGTGGAGAGTGAGTGTGGGGACTAAGGTCTTGTTCCCCCCAGCTCAGTCTTTGGGGTTGTCAGTGCTGACTGTGGATGTTGGGCTCTCCTCAGCAACATGGAGCTCCTTTTTTTACTTAGATGGAGTCTTCCTCTGTTGCCCAGGTTGGAGTGGAGTGGTGCGATCTTGGCTCACTGCAACCTCTACCTTCTTGGTCCAGGCAATTCTCCTGTCTCAGCCTCCCAAGTAGCTGGGATTACAGGCGCATCTGCCACCACACCCGGCTAATTTTTGTGTTTTTAGTAGAGATGGAGTTTCACCATGTTGGTCAGACTGGTCTCAAACTCCTGACATCAAGTGATCTGCCCACCTTGGCCTCCCAAAGTTCTGGGATTTCAGGTGTGAGCCACTGCACGCAGCCCATAGAGCTTTTATTATATTCTGCATGCAGTTACATTTCTGGCTTGGCTAGTGACCATACCCTGGCTGTGGTCACTGAGGTGGGAAAAGCGCCATGTGGCTCCAGACAGATGCCACCTGAGTGCTGGGCTCCAGCCTGCTGTCTGCCTGCGTGCATTACTCAGGAGCCCTATCAGGGAGCACGTGCCATCCTGGCAGCCTGAGATGGGGACACATGTCTTCAACCCCAGCATCCTGCATCCCAGGCACCTCTGTTTCCAGTCCCAGGGCCAGGACACATCTCACTGCCTCTTAGGGGAATGGCCTGGTATGTGAGATTAAAAAGAAAATGGGGCCAGGAATGGTGGCTTATGCCTGTAATCCCAGCACTTTGGGAGGCCGAGATGGGCAGACCTTGAGGTCAGGAAATTGAGACCATCCTAACATGGTGAAAACCCATCTCTACTAAAATTACAAAAAAATTACCCAGGGGTGGTGGCACACACCTGTAGTCCCAGCTACTTGGGAGGCTGAGGCAGGAGAATTGCTTGAACCCAGGAGGCGGAGGTTGCAGTGAGCCCAGATCACGCCACTGCACTTAAGGCTGAATGACAGTGAGACTCGTCTCAAAAAAAAAAAAAAGAAAAAGAAAATGGATTTCTGCTGCCTGCCAGTCTTCCCACTGCCCTTGTTGAGAGTTATAATGAGGGTAGTATGGGTTAGTGGGAAAGGTGTCTTCATGCATTCACTCCTTTCATCCTCACACGCACCTTCTGTGGAAGGTCCTATTTCCCCCTGTTGTAGGCAGGAAACTCAGACTCAGAGAAGCTATGTGAATTAGCCACAGTTATAACCTCACTGGTTAGAACCCAGATTCATAACTACACCCAGAGAAGCCAGTCCTTGGGCTTGGAATAAGGACTACGTTGCGGAGGAGCCCAGAGTGAAAATTAAGGCAGAGGGGCTGGGCAGTCTCACAACTGTAATCCTGGCACTTTGGGAGGCCAAGGCAGGAGGACTGCTTGAGACCAGGAGCTCCAGGCTGTAGAGAGCTGAGGCTGTAGTGAGCCAAGACTGTGCCACTGCACTAGCTTGGGTGACAGAGGGAGATCCTGTCTTTTAAAAAAACAAGCAGAAGAAAGGCAGCCACTGAGAATATTCAGTGTCCCATAACTGTTCCTCCAGAAATAGTGACAGGATCCCCCACTCCACAGAAAGATCCACAAAGCCCCCAAAGAAAACCTCCATCCGCAGCTGGGCCTAGGGATTCTACGCTGACCTGGTATCTTTCCTACCAGACAGTAAACCTCCAGAGGGCAGGACACACAGTTCCTACATCACTAGCATATTGCCAGGACTTGGTAAGCACTCAACACATCTTTGTGCTGTGGGAATGTAGGGAGTGGGAACCAGCAGGCCTGAGCTCCAGTCCTTGTTTTACCACCATTGCGCTGGGTCGCTTTGGCAAATCACTATCTCTTTCTAGGCCTCAGTTCTTCGAATTCCCTCCAAATTCTAATATTACATGATTTTTAGAAAGATCCAGACTTCAGGGGCACCCCAGAGAGTCTACTTCCTGTGGGACACGCCCTTCCTAGACTCCAATCAGAGGATGACACAGGCTGTGTTTTCTGCCCACCCTGCTGGGTTTCCAGTACCTGCTCCCCACCCCTCCAGCCCCAGCCCTCTGGGTCTCCCGTCAGCACACAGGATGCCTAAGCCAGCGACCCTGTGGTGACCTCGGCACAGCCCCAGCTTGTCAGAAGGCTGCTGGGCCTTTGTTTGGCTTCCAGGCTCCCTGACTTTGGTGTGGAGATCACAGGTCCCAGCACAATAGCCATTGTCTTCTCAATAATGCCCCTTGCCCCAACCACGCCTCCTGCAGCTCCCAGCTTCAGCTCCACAGATCACTGTGGTGGGCAAGTGACCTGGTCCTGCTCAGTGCCAGCCACGTGCCTTTTGCCACAACCCTCAGAACCCTGCTTTGACTTTCCGCAAACGGGCGAAGTTACTCTGCAATCAAACCAATCTTTGCCTAGGGGCTTCTCTGCCTCTTAGGTAACCCAGACTTTCTCCCTGAGTGCTTGAGCCCTTCTCCTCTGTGGGAGTGGGACCTAGAAAAACCGTCACCGCTGGCCCCAGCTCCCAGAGGCCTGGAAGAGGCCATACCATGGGAGGGTACAGCAGGCATGGAACAAATGCTTGTATACCACCCAGCTGGTGGCTCCAAGCCTGTCTTGGTGGCTTTGGTTTCTTCAACACTTGGGTCAGCTCCCAGCCCTCAGGCCTTTCCCATCAGAAGGGCAAGCAGCAGGCGAGGGGGTAACAAGTTTCAGAATCACCCCAGAGTTAGAAACAGCATTTGGCTTTCCTTTCACAAGCCGCTTTCTTGGAGGTGGCAGGATACTGTGTTACACTTTGTCCTCATGGGTACCACACAGACCCCAGTGAGCACCCCAATTTAGGAAGCCAGCTCTGCCAGAAGAATGAAGGACCAAAAGAAATGCTCAATTCCAGCCTGTGCCTAACACAGTGCACAGCATATAGGGGTGCTTTCCCTCAAGGAGGCTGTAGGATTCCATTCTGACAAACCCAAACCCCACAGCAGAGGCATTCTAATCCAGCCAGGGCCCGGCACGCAGAAGCACTCAATCAAGCATGATGGAACAGGTACTCAGTAAGTTTTGCCCAACTCATCACTGCAAAGATTTCAAGTGACTGACACCCCTAACCCTGAAGACACACGGAAGCCAACAAGCAGAGGCCACCAACAGAATGGCCATTCCCAAAGGCCACTGGGCTTCTCCTGAGGCAGCCGGACTGAGCGAGGGGCGGGATACAGCCAGGGATGGAGCAGGTGGCCAGAGTGCCATCCTCCAACACAGTGAGCCATCACCAGCCCTCTGCCAGTGGTTTGGACCTGGCACACCCATAAGACAGCCTCCTTCATGTAGAATGACTGCTGAGTCAGCAGCCACACAGGGAGAAGAAGAGGGAAGAAGACAAATAGGGGAAAGGGCTCCCTGGAGGCTGAGTGAGCCCTCACAGAGCAATGGCTGAACCAGGAGTTGGTGGAAACTGACCAGAGCCACACATTATTTCCAGGAGAATATTCTGGTAGTGAGAGGAGAGCAGCCCTAGGATCATCCCAAAGCATTTACTCCTCTGAAAACCCTTAAACAGGATGAGATCTGTGGGGAGAGGCGGGATGGTCGGGTTGCTGAGGCAGTGAGGCCCAGCCTCTGCTTACCTGACAGCTTGTTCGGAGGAGAGGTGCTAGGCTGGTGGTGGGGGGAGCCGTGGGAGAGCAGAGGGTTCAGGCTGTGCGTCTGGTTGGAGCTATAGGCGTCCATGGCCAGCTTCTGCCGGAACGCCTCCTCCTTCCTGCGGTTTGCAAACCAGTTGTAGACACGGACCTCTGTGACCAAGTTGGAGCCCAGGCCGTGGGCTTTGGAGGGGGACACCCCTCGCTGCAAACATTCTGCCCTGGGGATGGATGGAGGAGAGATGGTGAGTGAAGGTGACGGGGGGACTTGGTGGTGCCTGGTCGCAAACACACTATCATAGCAGTCTTGGTTGGGAGTGTGAAGAGGCTGTGGGCTGGTAGAAGGCTGGGGAGGAGAAGTCTACACAGAGAAAAGGCCAGTCCATGGAGCAATGTGACGAAGACAGCAGGAGGGAGCCTGAACGCAGGGACAGAGCAGGCTATGCTGCCTTGGGAGTCAGGGCCTTAGGCTCTGGTGTGACTCCCGATGAGAGAGAAGAGAGCAAGCCAGGGACAGGCAGTCCAGAGGAAGGTCAGATGGGGCTTCCCGATACCTCCTTATCTAGCCATTCTTCCCACCATGTAAAAGGCAAAGCCCTTCGCTGACTCTGTCTGAGTGCCTTCAAAGCACTTTGAGAGGATTTCTGGCCTTTTGGAGTTTGAACTCCCGGAAAGAGTGCTAGGAAGCAGGATGCCTCATCCCCTCCAAAAGGCAGGCTGGGTGGGGTACAAAGCAGGGCACATTGATATGGCCGGTCTCTAGCTTTGTCAGGGCTGGTCAAACCTCAAACCCAGATGTGAGAGATTCTTAGACACTACTGGGTGCTGCAAGGCATCTCATGAGTCGGGGAATGGAGCACAGCCTGAGGACTCAGTGGCAACACAGGCTCCCTGCTGCCCAGCCTGACCTCCCTGGCTGTATCTACCGCCAAGGCCAGCCCAGCCTAGAGACAGAAAAGGAGCACACAGGCCTTGGCTAGGCCAAAGAGCTGCATTTTTAGAAAGTCAATACTGGAGTCAGGAAGAACAGGGCAGGAATGAAGTAAAAATATTTCCCGGCTTTCTAATAGATTTTTTTTTTTTTTTTTTTTTTAATAGCTGGGCACTAGAGCCTATAATCCCAACTACTTGGGAGGCCAAGGCAGGAGGATCACTTAAGCCCCATTGAAGATCTGCCTGGGCAACATAGCAAGACCACATCTTAAAAATAAATAAATAACACACAGTTTTTTGTTTTTGTTTTTTTTAAAAAATAGAGATAGGGTCTCGTCATGTTGCCCAAGCTGGTCTCAAACTCCTGGGCTCAGGCAATCCTCCTGCCTCGGCCTCCCAAAGTGCTGGGATTGTAAGTGTGAGCCCCCATGCCTGGCTGGTAGTTAACATATTTAAAAAACTCTGTTGAGTCAGTGGGGACAGAATGGACTGAACAGACCTGACCAATTCTTTTTTATTTTATTTTATTTTTTTGACCAATTCTTACTCTCCTGCCAAGTTTCCTTTTGAACCACACTGCATGTCTGATAATTGCTAGAGGCCAGATCTAGAGTCTATGGCTAAGGGACTATATGGAGGTCAAACACAATTTTCACTTCACAGATATCATATTTTATATCAGCATTCTCCAGAGTATCTTCCCTAGAATAATAATTCATGGAGTTGTTTGTATTCTACCAAAGATTCCATAGTTAACAACCAATTCAACAAAGTGAAGTGGGTTTCTTAACTACAGGGCTTCTCAGAGCCTTTAATAAATTAATGTATGGGCTGGGCACAGTGGCTCATGCCTGTAATCCCAGCACTTTGGGAGGCAGAGGAAGGCAGATCATGAGGTCAAGAGATTGAGACCATCCTGACCAATATGTTGAAGCCTCGTCTCTATTAAAAATACAAAACTTAGCTGGGCGTGATGGCATGTGCTTGTAGTCCCAGCTACTTGGGAGGCTGAGGCAGGAGAATTGCTTGAACCCGGGGGGTGGAGGTTGCAGTGAGCTGAGATCGTGCCATTGCACTCCAGCCTGGGTGACAGAGCAAGACTTCATCTCAAAAAAAAAATATCAATATCTATATCTATCTATCTATATAAATGTATGTCATGACTCTCTAAGTGGAAGTATCCATATAATGGTTCTCAGATTTATTGATTAAGGAATTGATATTGGGGGTTCTGCGGGACATACTTTGGGAAGCTCTGATTTAGCCACACTTATCTCGATAACCCGTGTCTCAATATCCCAGGACCGAGGAGATGGATCCTGGGTCCATGTGCTTGCCCACCTGCCCGAATGAGCTTCTGGCGGTATTACCTGTTGCATTCCTCCACTAAGGCCTCTCTCTCTTCCTTGCTGGGGTTCTTTTGCCGATCGTAGGCCTGGTACAAGATTTGCTGGGACGCGGGCCCCCATTTGAACCGGTTGCGGCGCATCTTCTTGCTGGTGGGCTCAGAGCAGGCATCATCGGACTGCCCAGGCCCCTGGCTCTGTTGACTGAACTCTGGAAAGAGAAACAGCAGCTGATCCTGACTGCTTTTGTCTGTCATATTTCCAGAACTCTGGACTGTCTGGTTGAATTCTGAAAAGAGAAAGGAGTAGATTTGATAGGGTCTGTAGTCTTCACTCAGCAGACAGACAGACAGACAACAGACGAAGACACCATTATTCCCCTCAACTAACTAAGTTTTGCAGTCTGCTGTCACTGCAGGTGGAATTGCAGAGACAGAGGCCTCAGCACGGGCCCTTACTGCCCGCCTCAGTTGCTCCAGCAAAGCCACTCTTTTCCTTTCTTTGAAAGAGCTCAAACATAGCCAGCCATTGTTTTAAGAAAATTATTTTTTTTACCGTTTGGCTCACTGGCCCTCAGACATGAAGCAATGCTCTACATCCTGAACTCTTGTATTCTGATGTCAAGTAGGGGAGCTCAATCAAGTCTCATGTCAAGGGGAAAATCGTCCAAAGGTACAATTCACACTTGTACAAAATATTCAGAGGCTGTAGCTAGCACTTCTCACTTCTCCTCCCTCTTCCTGTATCCTAGGTGTCTACATTATAAAGTCAGGTTTTTAGAAAAAAATCACTTTCACGATTTTCACTTCTAAAGTGAAAATTTCAGAATTTCACTTTAGAAGTGAAAAATTGTGTGTCTGGCCTCTATACAGGCCAGGGTAAAACTTTTCCCGAGCCACAGACTCTAGATCCGGCCTCTACCAATTGTCAGACATGCAGTGGTCCAAAAGGAAACTTGGCAGGAGAGTAAGCATTGGTCAGATCTGTTCAGTCCATTCTACCCCCATGGACTCAACAGAGTTCCTCCTATATGTTAACTACCACACAGGCACGGGGGCTCACATTTATAATCCCAGCACTTTGGGATCACGCTTTGAAATAAGTATAACTGGAGCTTTGTATTGGAAAGAAAAGATGTGCTTTAGATTGCAAATAATTTCAAAGACTACAAACACAGGACCGTCTGGGAGTGGTATTTAATTAGCTGGAAACGATGCTCTCTGCCTGTCCAATTCCCTGGGTCCAGGCCTACTGTGACCCTCAGGAGATTTCTGTGGAATGAATGAGAGCCAGCAGCTTGGCCCAGTGGTGGTGCCTTAGCCTACATGGTTTAAATGAGATTTGATATTTACATTACTGAAGAAGAAAGCTTTGCTGTCTTTGTCTTCACATCTGCATGAAGCAGGGCTCATCAGGGGTGATTATTTCCATTTTACAGATGAATAAACATAGAGGCTAAGCACTCTGCTAAGCAAAGACACATAACACATTCATTTCCTAGCTCTAGCTCTGGGTCCCTATGTTCTGGATGTTAATGTCTTTTTTTTTTTTTTTTTGAGATGGAGTCTCGCTGTGTCGCCAGGCTGGAGTGCAGTGGCAAGATCCTCTGCCTCCTGGATTCAAGTGATTCTCCTCCCACGTACAGGGTCTACAGGTGAGTGTCAGCACGCCCAGCTAATTTTTGTATTTTTAGTACAGACAGGGTTTCACCATGTTGGCCAGGATGATCTCTATCTCTTGACCTCGTGATCCACCCTCCTTGGCCTTCCCAAGTGCTGGGATTACAGGTGTGAGTCACTGTCCATGGCTATTTTTTGGTATTTTTAGTAGAGATGGTGTTTCATCATGTTGGCCAGGCTGGATTTGAACTCCTGACCTCAGGTTATCCACCTGCCTTGGCCTCCCAAAGTGCAGGGATTATGGGCGCGAGCCACTGTGCCTGGCCTTGATGTCTTTCTCAGTTCCTGGAATTACTCCCGCAGGTCACAGAGAGTGGAAGGCTACCACATCCCTTTGTGATAAGCTCTGGATGTACCATCATTTACATCCTATCCTCGTTCCTTTGGACAACTGAATCCAAAATCCTCAAGGTTCAAGTCAGACAGTTACTTAACATTTGAATCCCCTCTATAATCCTCCACCAAGTGGTTCTCCAGACTGTATGCCTCCAGCAGCCGGGGACTTATCACCTATCTGAGGCTCATTTCTATTTAGGTCTACCAGGAGGAATGGTTAGGACCCTAGCCAGCCAGGACTTGGGATCCCAGCTGCAGGTGGTGTTGGGCTTTGTTTAACTGGACTGACCTTGTCACTAGGGGGCCTTTGATTTGGGACCATTCACTTTGGAGGATTCTTAGGCCACCTTAGGGCTCTGTTTTCAGTGGCCCAACAATGCCGTTAGAGACCTGAGAGAGTCCCTGCCAAACTTACTAGCAGGAAGTCACTGCTGGTGGGATCACGCGGGACCCCAGCCAAGTTGCTTAATTCCTTCATCACTTAGACTCCCCAGCTGTGGAATGAAACTGAAAGGTTAGGGGCACTAACTTGTCTTTTAGAATATCTACCCCTAGTCAGGATGACGGCAATGTTGGCCCAAATTCCTGATATTCTTTCTTTTTTTCAGACAAGGTCTTGCTCTGTCACCCAGGCTGGAATGTAGTAGTATGATCGTAGCTCACTGCAGCCTTGACCTCCTGGGCTCAAGCCATCCTCTCACCTTAGCCTCCTAAGTAGCTGGGCCTACAGGTGCACTAGCCACCACACCTAATTAAAAAATATATTTTTTGTAGAGATGGGGTCTCACTATGTTGCCCAGGCTGGTCTCAGACTCCCGGCTTTAAGCAGTCTTCCCACCACCTCAGCCTCCCAAAGCACTGGGATTACAGGCGTGAGCCACCACGCACCACCTGATTGTACTTTTCAAAGTGCTTTCGCCCCACTATAGTTTTTGGTCTCACAGCAGTTCTCTAAATGCAGTTACTTGTGGGGAAATTGAAGGGGGAGAAGGGGATGTTCCCTGCTCAGTGAGGCCTGTCACAGTGTCTCCTCTCCTCTCTGTGGGCCTGTATGACACCGGTGGAGTCACCAACGGCAAAGCCAGGGTGGATCGTCCCAAGGGCCATGAGTTTTTTTTCATTTAATGTGAACAGACACAATAACAGTGACATTTATTTAACCATGGCTATGGTGAGGTATTGTGCAAAATCCTCTAAATATATCCCTTCATCTAATTCTTACAACCTCTCCATGTGAGAAGTATGGCCATCTCCATTTTACAGATGAAGAAACTGAGGTTCAGACTGGTTAAGTGACTTGCCCAAAGTCATAAAGACTTGCAGCAGGAGCCTGGACCTGAGCCCAGACTGCAGGCCTTAAGGCTCCTAACCACCAGCCTGTGTGTCACCTCTCACTAAAAACAAAACCCAAACCATGCACCCACACACCCTTCAGATCCGACTTGCGTGGAGGTGACAAAACTGACTCCTGAAGCTTTGTGTCTGGTGGATGTGAGACACTCACAGCTGCTCCATAGCGTGGGGACTGCCTCAGTCTCTCACCTGCCCTTTAAGGAAGCAGCAGCCTGAACAGTGTTCAGAACCCAGTATGTCCCCCAGTCAGCCAGGTGGGCTTGCCTGTGAGTGCTCAGAACTATTCGGGTTCCGCTGACCTCAGGGGCTTTGCTCTAGCCCCTCCCAGTTTTTGAAGAACTAGGCTCCCACATATACTCCCTCTAGCCACCACCGACCATTCTCTACCACCCTTCAGATTAACTGGGGTTGGGGAGGGAGATGTTCATTGCCCATGAAAATTATCTTGGAGAAGTTGGCTTCAGTAGCCACTTTGTAGGCTTGGGGGCCAGCCTGGACAAAGAGATTCTGTGTGTGTAGAGGACCCCATGAATATTACCATTTGTTATTTTCAGTTTTTCAAGGAAATTTGTAATCATCTCTCATTTTCTTTTTTTCCTCAGGAAAAACTGTGGCCCAGGCTGGAATGCAGTGGCGGGATCTAGGCTCACTACAACCTTCGCCTCCTGGATTCAAGCGGTTCTCCTGCCTCAGCCTTCTGAGCAGCTAGGATTACAGGCAGGCACCGCCACGCCCAGCTAATTTTTGTATTTTTAGTAGAGATGGGATTTCACTGTGTTGGCCAGGATGGTCTTGATCTCTTGACCTCGTGATCCACCCTCCTCTACCTCCCAAAGTGCTGGGATTACAGGTGTGGGCCACCGTGCCGGGCCATCATGTATCATTTTGTATTCTCTCCCCTCTCTTCCTCCTTCTCCCCTCTCCATTCACTTGTGTCCCTCTGTTATTTCTCTTACTTCCTAATTCTTATATCATACTTGTATGTCTTATAGTCATCCTTCAAGACATGATTTGAATGTCACCTCTTCTAGGAAGCCTTCCATGATGTCTCCAGGCAATTTAGCAATTCCCCTGCTGTCCCTTGTGTATATCTTTATAATAGCTCTTAGAAAGTGAATGTCATTATTTACTCAAACATCTCCACTTCCTCACTGGATGGCAGGTAAGTCCCTGGAGAAAATAATTTACGTATTCCACAGCTTGGCGTAGTGTTTGGCACATAATAGGTGCTTGTATAATAGTTACAGAATGAAGGAACGTTTTTTGAGCTTTACATCTCATGTAATTTTAAAACAAAATAACAATAACAACAATCTCTTGGAGAGACTGTTGTATTTGTAAAATGTCCCTTCCTAAGCATCTTGAGAAACTTTCTGGACCTCTGTCTTTTTAGAAGTTTCCAGTCTGCCTTTCCTGCCTCCTTCTCCTTTCTGAAGAAATTCTCATTGAACATAGAGAGGCAGCTCAGACTAGAGATGCAGCATAAAGCTTCAATTAGGCAGGGTGCAAGGGTTGTTGGGTCTTCGGAGACAGTGGCTTCTGAGAATTTTTTGAGGCTTTCCAGGAACTACAGAGAGTTGCTTCATGTCAGGAACACAAATTCTTAAAGAGCTAGTCACCAAGGATGGGGGGTGGGGGCAACCCATACTTGGAAAGGTCTCCCGTGGTAAGCAGCAAACAGCCCTCACATTGCTTCTTCTAATCTATTCATGTAATGCTCCCAACAAAACCACAAACACTGCAATATGAAATGAACACTTAAAACCCTTCCTTTCACTGTCCCAGAGACGTTGAGATGATAAATACTGAAACAATCGCTTCAGAGCAATGTGTAACAGAAAACAAGAGTAATTTCAAGTAACAAGAGGGAAAAAGCCCAACCCAGAAAGTGGTGGAAACTGACATCCTGATGAAGACAGAGAAGCCTAGATAAAGCCAGAGGATAGTGTGTGGGGAGAGTCAAAACTGATACAAAATTTTCTTAGGAAAAGGACTGAATCAAAGTAATGAAAGTGTAATGTCAAAGAATACTTTCCTCAAATACAGACAGTATGTCATTCCTACTCTTGTGATTCAAATGCAGTTCACACTTTTCTAGACTTACTTCAAAACCAAAAGCTTTCAGAATTATTGGGTGGAAGAAATCTTGGCACACACGCACAAAAAACTTTGGGATGGGGATGGGAATGTCAAGAATTGATGCGCCAGAGTTCCAAATGCAGACACTTTTCCTGTGCCCTGCCTTAGCCAGAAGTAGCTTCTTCATGAGAAGGGCCACCAGCTGAGGTTCCCACACTATACCAATTTTGGTAAATGTGAGTAAGTACCTTAAATTGCCTCAGGACTCAGTCCCTCTCACTATCCCCTAAGAACAGGGTAAAGTTCTGAATATATCTATCTATATACATGCCTTCTATTGTTTATACTTTTTCCAGAGAGGAGGAAATTAACAGTAATAGTAATCAATATTACTGACTGCAACAAAATGTCTTCTTTGGAAATTGACTGATGGTCACGTACCCAGGGGAGATGCTCAGCTTTCTCTGGGGGAAGATACTACCCTCTGTCAACTACTTGGTTTCAAAGAGAAGGATGTTGGAAGGAGGGTCCAAAAAGTTTAAAGTACATTGCAAACAGTGACGGGCTCCTGAGAGCAACTGGCTGGGTAGCAAGGGACTGTGACCGAAGAACATGACAGAAGGCAGTCCATTGTACAGCAACCACCAATCTACTTGCCAGCTTCCTTATATCTGCCAAGTGCTCACAAGGCCTTGTTGATAAAAGGGAAACTGAGGCAGCCCATGGGGTGAGAGGGCAAAGGTCACTTCAGGTTAAGGCAGAGGCAGAATGAAAACACTTACGTCGGAGAATCTCTCGTTGCTTCCTGACGTACCAAGTGTACAGGGCGGCACGCTTCTGGGTCTTCATAGGGGTGCCCTTGTTGAGATGCTGGGAGAGGTGTGACTGGTTCAGGCCGGTGACATCGACCACCTCCCTCTGGGGGATGTTGTGTTGCTGCATGTAGCCCTTGATCATTTTAGCAGCCCTCCAAGGGTCCTCACTAGACAGATAAGCAGATGGTTAGGGTACTAGTGGGAGACATCAGGGTAGAAATATTCTCTTCCTAGGGGGTGTTACCTATACTCTATGCAAAACTCTGAATTTTCCACCCATCTAAGCCACGACTTTGGCCTAGACATTAGGCCAAAATAGGGCCTAAACAGAAGAGAAGGTGATGAACCCTGTACAGTACACCTCATCCCTTGCTTCCGAGGTTAGCAGGGAAAAGACTTTTCATCTTCAGGAATAAAAAAGCACCATCACCACTCTCTCTTATTAAGCAAGAAGAAAGGCTCTTTCTCTGGTAGATGTCTTTTAAAGAATAAAAGGAAAAAGTAAAATTTTTAATAACAATAAAAAAAAGGCTGTTTTATTTATTTATTTATTTTGAGGCAGAGTTTTGCTCTTGTCACCCTGTCTGGAGTGCAACAGCATGATCTCAGCTCACTGCAACCTCCGCCTCCTGAGTTCAAATGACTTTTCCTGCCTCAGCCTCTCGAGTATCTCCCAGGCACCCATCAACACACCTGGCTAATTTTTGTATTTTTAGTAGAGATGGGGTTTCACCATGTTGGCCAGGCTGGTCTCAAACTCCTAAGGTGATCCACCTGTCTTGGCCTCCCAAAGTGCTGGGATTACAGCGTGAGCCACCGCGCCCGGCCGTTTTATTTTGCTTTCTTTCATTTTCCCGGAATGTGGGAGACTTAAAAGGCAGTAGGCCCTCCGGAAAGTGGGGATGCCATTAGCTTGGGGCTGGACTCACTGATTCTACAATGAAGTGGGATAGCATCAGTTTCTGAATTTGCCCAATTTTAGCTTCAACCTCTCCTACATTATTTTCCTTCCTATAAAACAGAGGTAACATGTGCATGTTCACCTTCTGAGAAGCAAGGAGGGTGTCTCAGCCAAATAGTAAGTAGTTTTCAGAGTTATAGAAAAGTTTTCCAAAGTAAGATGTCATACCTCCTTGGGACTAGAGGATCACACACTGAGGTGAGGCAGGTAAAGTTAAAAAAAAAAAAAATCCACAGCCCCACCTCCCAAATAAAATCTAATGGGCTAATGGGGACAAATAATTTCAATTTCTGATATTAACAATTTCAGATGTCTTGTTTTCCTGTATTATCGGGTTTCTCACAAATGTCAAGCACGGGATAAGAACATGGTTATACTTTTCATTTCTCATAAACACAGGTGTGCAAATTGCTGGTTTTAGCACCTTTGAATTTTATTTGTCTAGATGGTTTCAACTTTGCTAATATCTTTTCTTGCTTATTGAACAGGTACTTTGAAAAGATAATTTAAAAGTAGAAATTAAGAAAAGAGTGTGCTACACAGAAGTACTAAAGAACCAATATGCACACATTTACCATTTATTTAGTGCAGGTACATATTTAACTTACAAAAGCCAGCACCCCATTACTGTATGTTGATGTATGTATTAGCCTGATAGAACATTTTTTTTAAAAAATGAAGAGAAAACTAGTTTCAGGTGAAACAACAACAAAAAACCGGTGTAGAGGCTGAAATAGAGACAGCATTGCAATGTAATAACCAATTTTATTTCCAAATAGTGCCTTTAATATTTCAAATAAAATTAATTTTTTTAATGAATAAAAATCCAGTAATTGAACATACTTTGTAAGCATTTAGGTAGCTGTGATTATTTTAACCAGCCTTTGGTATTAAATTCGTGAGAACACAGGCTTTGATAGAGATGTTTTTGAGAAATGCAAACTTTTTATATTAATTATATATAAGAACGAATTTCTGAAATATTTATAAAGGTACTTTCCAAGTACACAATATAAGGAAGTAGCAACAAGAACAAAAAATGAGAAAATGAGTTACAGTTTAAAACGTGGAGATTCACATTAATTGGAAAACAATGTAATAAACGTTTTAGACATATCCATGTAAACATCACAGATCATTTAAAAGCTTATTTCTGGTGAACATTTCCACAGATATTTTTAGGGTGGAAAAACACTTTCAACCGTTAAGAGCAAGAAGCTTCGAACCTTAGGGGGAAAAATGCATTTTAAAAGTTAATATTGCTTTAGTAAATTCTTCGGCTATTTTTCTTTCGTTTAATACCTGTGTTCATTTTGTGTGCCTAAGAACCTAGAAAAATAGGGTACTGTCCTAAGTGGGAATGGTTCTGTGGAAATAGTAAATTAACTCAACAATCGTGAAGGGGGAAAAAAAAAGCCCAGGAAAACCTTATAAATGATGTTGAAACCTTTAAGCCCGACTTAAAAGAGAGTGGGGAGTAAGATGGCGCAGTTATACCTTTACAGCTCTCAGACCCCAGAATTCACCTGTGTTCACTGGGAAGAGTCGGGAGAGCTGGTTATTTTTTGCTTGAAAACACAGCTCAGGCTCAGGAGTTCCTAACAGGGAGAAAGGCACGGGTTCCGAGGAGCTCCAGCGGCCATTGTGTCCCGAGCGCAGGTGTCAAACGCCGGCCGCGGCGCCCGAAGGGTCCGTGCAGCTCGCTCCTTCTCAAACAATGACCTTGCTTCCCTGGAGCAGAGAAGGCTGGACCCCTGTGCAGTCCGCGGCGCGTTCGTTAAGGAGCCCCAACTTCGGCTTCTCAGAACGCAGCCCACTTTCCAGACGCCCCCGGTGCGCCCGCCTCGAGGCCGCGAGCAAAGCCAGATCCCGCCCGGAGCCCAGGACCGGGAAGCGCGCAGCCCCGACCGTCCTTCCCCGCCTTTCTCTTCCAGGAGGTTTACGAGAACTCCGGGAACTCCAAAACGCGACTTCGCTTTCTCTTTGCTGTTCGTCTTAAGGGAACACGGTGGGCAAAATAAGGGAGTGCGTGTACTCGGCGCTCGGGAGCCCACTGGGCCTTGACCTGAGAACCGCTAGCGATTTCTTAAAAAATTACTTTAAAGTCCGGCGGTCCCGGGAGCGGGGGAGGAAAGGCTGCACCCGCTCGGGACGGGAGAAAAAAGCCTCCGGGTCGGTCCCGCGTCTCCAACTCGGCGAGGGTCTCCGGCTCCCCAGCCCGCCTCCTTGCCCTGCTGGAGCCCGGAGCTTTGGGGAGGGAAGAGGGGGGCTAGAGTGTGAGGACCCTGGGCCCGGCCTGAGGATGTCGGTGACCCCGGGGCTCCGTGGACGGCTCAGGCTCTCAAAGAGCCCGGGTCAGGCGCCGCGGCGGCAGTAAAGCGGGGCTGCACGGGGCGCCGGGCTGGGTGCAAGCTGGGAGCGGCCAGCAGCCCCGCGCCCGGGTTTTGATTTCCTTCCCGCTCTAAGCCGCGTTTACAACTTCACCAATGAATAACCCGCCTCTCTTTTCAACTTAATCACGACTCTTTGTGTATCTTTCTGTTGATGATTTATAGAAATAAATTAATAACACCCCAACTCCACGTGCTGCAGTTTATGTTACGTCTCAGCTGCGTCCAGCCCTGCGCGGGGCCCGGTGCGGAGGTGCGCCCTAGGTACTTCCAGCGCCGCCCGAGAAAGCGGGCGCCGGCAGCAGGGCGGGAGGGCCTAGGCCCTGTGGCCCCCAGTGGCTGGCGGTGGGAGCCTATATCGTCCGCCAGGCCCGGAGCGACCTCCCGGCCGCCTTGGCGCCCCAGCCACTCCTAGGGGCCACTCACTCGACCCCTCTTAGCCTCCGCGACTCACACCTTCCCGCGTCGCGGAGCTCTCTGGCAGGAGTTCTCTCCCGGTCGGGGAGAAATCGCCTCCGGGCGGGAGAGCGGCAAGGGAGAAACCTCAAACCTATAAATTATAGCAAAGTATGTTTTGGGGGAAAAAATCTACAAGTTCCCCTGATTGTTTTGGCTAGAGGGCAAAACGCCAGACCCTTGGATCGCAAATTCAAATGCAAGGTCAGATCCCACCCCGAACTGCAGCTGCAGACGTGCGGCCGAGACTCAGGCTCGAAATCGCGGCGCTTCAGTGTCCGAGGCCACACGACGGGCTCTGTCCTAAAGCGGAGTGGCCCGGGAGCGACGTGCGTTCTCAGGGAACCGCTCGGCTCCTTAGATAATTAGTAACCAGCTGTCAAAGCCTAGGGCGGTCGGGGAGGACCCACAAACGATCCCGGCCCCAGGGATAGATCACCAGCCGGCCTGACCTCCCGGGGAGAGGCTGGGGGTGGGCAGCGAGGTCCGGAAACGCCCTCCTTTCTCAGACGGAGACCAAATCCTCTGCGAACTGAGGTCTGAGACGCGTTCGCCCCCGCACCACCCCGCTTGCTTTCTTCTGCCCCGCGCGGGTCCACCCCGACCCTACAGGCAACATTCCCTTTGCAAATCTAAACCCGCGTTGGGGATCCCGGGCAATTCTGGGCCTTGCATGGGCGCTGCTAACAAGTGTGCACACCAGAAACTCGCCTCCCAGATCCCGGCCCCGGATGCCGCCTGTCTCTCGGCAAAGAACTGCAAGTCACCATGCAGGTCAATGCGTCCGAGGCCGACTTGCGGCTTTCTAGACCCGGGGCAGCGCGCAGGGAAGTGCGCGGCCTGGGGCTGGTAGCGGCGCGAGCCTCCGCTCCCGGGAAGTCACAGAGTTTTCACTGCACCCACTCGCACCTTCAGCCACTCGGGCAAACCTCCCGCAGCTCCAGTTCTCCCTGGGCGAGCCCCAGCCCCGCGGGGAAAGCCCTTGGGTCCCCGACTCTGGCCTGGGCCTGGGGAGAAGAAGCCGGGTGGGCCGCAGGGTGGTCCGGCTCAGGGGTTGGGAAGGGTCCAGCTGTTGGGAGAGAAGCAGAGCGCCCCCCGGGGGACTTCTCTGGTGGGAAACGGGCTTGGCCAGTGTGGTCCGGCGCAGTGTCACTCAGGCCCGGGGCCGGGGCTCCAGGGAGTTTGGGAGGATCCTCGGCACCTAGCTCTGCGCCTACCTGAGCATCCGGTCCACCTCCGCCCGCTGCTCCGCCGCCTCCTCGGTGTTAAGCGCCTGCAGCTCCTTGAGGATGGGAGGGGTGTCATAGTCGTCGCCGTCCTCGGAGCCCTCGTCGCCGGACAAGCGGCCCTTGGCGTGGCCGTTGGTGAGCGTATGGAAGACCGGCTTGGTGTCGGGCTCGGCCCCGCTGCCAGGGGACAGGGGCAGCGTCTCCAGCTTCACCCCGAAG